CCCTAGGGAGTCCCTTCTCACCAGCTAGGGAACGGCGGAGGAAGGGAGTTCGGGTAGCTCGGATCCTAGGGGAGAGAGAGGTCGGGTTGGTGGGGAATGAAGATCTCCTCTTGCACTATCGCCCGGTGCCAGGGAAACCAAACCATGCTCGGCCAATCTGGTGCAAACACCACTACGTCTAGCATCAGCCTCGATGTGAGGAACGCAACAAGCTCCGCGAGGAGGCTCCACGGGGGATTGTGCCAGCTGCGTATCCTTATCCAGTTCTGTGTGAAGGTGTCGACACCGGATGTACCCATATCCCAATGTTGTCTGTGGTAGGCCTCACAAAGGGCATTTCAGGGGGATGCAAAATAGTCTATAGAATAAGCCCTGAAGCAGCTAACGACCTCCTAGAATGTTTGAGGATTCAGGCGATAGACTTCCAAAGACCGTATACATGAAAGCTTGTCTGGTAGTGCATTGTCAACCAACCAAATATACTCTGGCTCCAAGAGTAGCTTCCAAATCGCACAAATAGCCTGCAACTGGTTAAGGGGCCTCAAGAGCCTGGCTAATTTAGTAATCATCAAGTTGAGCCAGTGGAGGACCACTTGGTTGTCCACCAATAGGTGAAGGTAGCGAAAAGTTGTTCTGTGGCACCAACGAGGAGAGAAAGAGAGCAGGGCCAAGTACATAGCCTGCATTTCATGGACATTGATGTGAGTAAGCTCCCGATCAAAAAATTCATTGGCAAGAAGGGGTTGATCACCCCGGTCGGTGTGAAGGTGGCCCCCCAACCAATGAGACTTGCATCTGTGGTGAGGGTGCCCACCACCTCAAGGAAGTGGGATTCAAAGACCAGCCCGCCAAGTGCCCAATTTGGGCCCACGCCCCCAATTCCAAACGAGTTTCGGGGGCCAACTAGAGACAATCTCACCAAGAACCCTTGCCTCACAAAAGGAAGTACAAACTCATTAAGAAAAATGAGCCAACAGAAAGGCCAAGTATATGAAAATGGCTGATCCACAAAAACGGGCCAAATTCTGGGCGACGATTATGCCCATTTTGTTGATTTGTTGGGCCCGCTCGGAGATGGCAACAACCTTGTTTGGAGGCACCTAAAATTGGCACTGATTGGTGTCGATCATGATCCCAAGGCGTTTATTGCGCTGCACTGGTTCCCACTAACACTTGTTCTCCTTGAAGGCCAAGCTGAGTGTCGCAAAAAGTCGATGTACTATACAGGACCATTGGTGCAACCGATCGAGATCCACCATTAAAGCAATAAAATCATCCAAGTAGGCCAAAATTAGCGTGGGAACTGCCTGCAAGTACTTCAGGTAGTACTGCAAAATGGAATCGTCATCTGCTAAGTGACCAAAACTGAAATCGAGTGGCTACCTTAGGATAGGAGCTGGGAGTTCTTAAGAAATAGACCACTGCCAACATCAGCTGAGTAAAATAAAATGGGGAGAGTGCCAATCCAAAGGGAAGAGCCCGACAAGCAAAAGGCCCCCCACCCATTCAAAATTGCAAGAAATGTTCTTGATCAACCCATATTCGAATATGATGGTAAGCATTTTTGATGTCAAATCCCACTAAAACACCATGCTTTTTCAAGAGAAAACCAAAATCCCAGAGTTTTTCATAATAGAGACCGACCTTCTTGAGGTGGCGATTGATGCACCGAAGGTTGATTACCAAGTAATACTTGGTCTTCCTATTCATTGCTGGCTTGGCCACCAAGAAAGCGCGAGAAATCCAGGCGTCGGAAGAGGGGGTTCCTCTGCACGATCGCTCCCGTTGTGAGGTACTCGTCTTGCAGTTCTTGCCAAGCACTCTACTCCACCGGAGCCGTCAACAAGTACTCGCCTTGATCAAAGGGGGCCGAGGGCCCATCAGACCACATTGAAGTGGAGCACCCTTGTGGATCCATTGAAGGACACGAGAAAGGGTGCCGATGCATCTCCATATGGCAAGTCGACCCCATAGATGATTGTAGGGAAGATCCTCTAGCTGGCGGGCTTGGGAAGTGGTGGCGGGGTGCTCGAACCCGCCGGCGCTTTGGGTATCTTGCCCTTGAAATACCGGGCGCTAGATGTGGATTTGCCCGAGGGGCCGGTAGTTGGAGCGGCGCGATCGAGGCTTGCTTGACTGTTGGCCACCGCAGACTTGGTAGCCAACTTCAGCTGTTGATTGAGGACCTCCTTGCGGATGTGCTCTAGCGGCTCATCCATCAATGGGTCCTAGAACCACCAATGCACCATGCCCAGCCGAACGTTGGTTTGGAGCACATGCCACAACCCATCGAGGGACATCCCCTTGTGCTCCCCGTGGAACTGCTGAAGGTGGATTAGGCTTTGCAACCTGGTTGTAATCATCACGAGGGCATGAAGGTACAGCAGGAGGGCGTCCCAAAAGATGGGCGGGAATTCTTGATGTGCCACGAAGTCGATCAATGCGGAGGTGAGGTCAAAGAGCCACACGATGTAGGGCACCCAATTTTGGTACTTTTGGAAGTAGCCAGAGTTCGCCCCAAGTGCCTACACAAGTTGCGTGCCTTTGGAAGTCCACAACATGTTGAACCACTCGGGAAAGCAAACCCCTAGATATCGGACCACCGGGTTGGTGACTGACGATGGAAGGAGCCGGGGGTCCAGGGGCCAAACGGTGTCAAGGGAAGCCGTAGGCAGACCGTCGTTGAACCGGACGGCTTGTTCTTGCAGCCAATGTTCCGCAGGTGTCCGGCTCATAGAAAGAACTCGGCCAAAACGGCCGGGGAGGGCAAGGCACTCGGTGCCTTCAGGTTGTGCCAACAAAGGGCACAAAGCGAAATAAGATAGGAGGGGGACCGAGGAGGGAGCCTAAATACCCACCCCCACTCAGCCCCGCCAAAGCCCACCAAGTCCAAGGGCACCAAATGGGCAGCACCTTGGAAATTGCGTACTTTGACTGACCCAAGGTACTGGATGGGCCAAAAACCCGTTTGAATACAATTGCGATTGATTTGAATCCTCGGCGCAACCCACCCAATGTCGTCCTTGGCAGAAATATATTAACAAGATAGTTAATGGCATTTCTAGGGCGCTCATTTATTTAGACGCGCAGCGTGGGCCCAAACTTGCTGAATGGCCGTGCACAAGGCAGCCATGCATGTAGTGGGTGCATGATGCCATGTGGCCTATGGGTGCAACTGTGGGGAGGCAAGAGTAAGCACGGATGGAATTACAGTTATTGTGCAGGGTCGGTCACATGAACCCCATACGCATCAGTACACAGCTACCATAACAACTCATCAAATGTACCCATATCGACACTATCTCATCTTGGTATATGGTAGCAACCCATTCTTAAGCACTACAACTCAAAGAGGCTATAACTCCGCTAACCCGTTTTGGATGAGACAAAGACCAATGGAAAGCCAACAGCCTCCTTTGTACAATCTAGTACAATCTCATGTCTATTACCACTTCCCAATGTATAACCTGAGTAACTCGCCTGCCCGTAGTAGTTTATAGATTAGCAAGGGATGCGGACCGGTGGAGGGCACCCTCGCGCCCACCTCCACCATGGAGGCAGGCTCCAATGACAAACAAATAACCAAAATGGGCCATGCAGCCCAGTCGGGCACAGAAGCAGCCTAGAGCGGCGAACAATAGGGCAAAGATCAACCCATGGCGGCCCAAGAAAGCAATGACGGCAGAAGCCAGTTGAGCCAAGATGAGCCCATGGGGGAAGCCCCTACAGCCCAACTATGAGGGGTCAGGTCATGCATTATAGAACAATGCACCATAACTCTGTATTTTAGATATTTAATTGGGAGAGCTGGTGGCGGAGAACCGATAGGTGGCCAGGGTGACATCACCGCTCCATCAGCATTCTTGCCCCTAATACCATTAATGGGAACATGGCAAGGATTTCAACACCCTGTCAATCGTCAAGTACATCAACATCACGGACATTTTGCTCACAAGATGTTGGTGCATGGGCATTGCAGCAAAGTTGGCAGGAAGTGTGTCAGCACACTCTTTGCATCAAGGCCTGCCAACGTTGCTCCAACTCTATCCCGATTCCTGGGTGGCTATAGAAACGGCCAACACATGTCCAACAGCTCTACACTGACTGCTGCACCAATCGGCGTCTTGCCTAGTCAAAGCATACTTCATCACGACAAATTTGTCGCATGTTTGATCATGCGTCAATATCCACCGGCTGCCAACTCCTTAAAAATCGAGAGCCATTTCGGCCATCGAAACAGCAATCAGTCGCAGCCGAAGGTGGTTGGCGCGCTCCGATGCAGAGTGTATAAAAAAATAGCTGGGGTAGCCCAGGTCACGGAATCCAAAGGTCCAAACAGTGTTATATTACTAGTGTCGCTGGTAGGTCACCATCACCAGAAGTTGTACATATGCCCTGCTACAATAAGGTATCAAGAAAATACAAGTAGGGAAAATTTCCTGCCTTGCCACAAATGTTGCCACCGAAGTGGCCCTGACAAGTGCTTCAAGGCGCAGACAAGCGCCGCGTCAAATCCAAGAATTCGACGCAACAAGTCCATGGGGATTGCCATCACCGCCGCCGATTCAACAGACCAGATCACGAGCCCCTCAAATAGCCTTCTCCGTTTCTTGACCCACGCGACGCTGCAGTCGGGCTGCCCGCGGTCCAGGGGGCCACGGTGTCAAATTCGCCCGGCGCACGCAGCCCTCGGTCTCTCAACACATCCGAAAATCGACGTCCAGCCCGACGGCCGCACGGAAGTGCGCCCCAACCCCCGGCAACCTCCACCGCGACCGAAAATCGACGTCCGGCCCACCTGCACCCCACGGGGCTGTCACCTGGCCAGCTGACGCATAGCAGGGCGCCCCACTCCAGCGCAACTTCCCCCCCAATCCTCTGCCCAAGTCTATCCCCGAAACGCCCCTCAATCGCCCTTAGCCCCGCGACCGTGGTCCCCAGTACTGCGACATTGGCAGCCTCCTCCCAGCAAGGTCTCCCTCCCCGGCGGCGCCCTTGTGTCAGCTGACGATGTAGCTGAGGTCGCCACACGCCCCGGCTGACGCGCCCGTGGTGCGCGCCTGGTCGAAGCCGCCCTCCCCCTCACCCCCCCGGCCGCCCGCCCCGTCGGCCGAGGCGCTGCTCCGGCTGGATCCGTTGCTGTTCTCCCTTCCCAGTCCCTGGAAGGGATCCGCAGTGGCCCGGAGGAGCCCCTCGAATGCCGAGGGCGCCGCGCCGGAGGCCACGGCGTCCCAGAAGGGACCGCCCGTCAGCAGCCGCAGGGCCACGTGCTCCGGCACCCCCGACGCCGCACTGCGGGAGCGGGACAGTCCCCGGGCTTGGCGTGGGGGCTGGTACCCCACCTGGGTGGCCTGCTGGGGGACGTGGGGGCTGAAGCTGGCGCTGCGCGAGTGACGGGGGTCGTAGACGCGTCCACGGGCAGCGTTGGCGTCTGCGCGGCCTGCAGGGGAAGGGGGGGGCTGCTTCAGAGGCTGGTTGGCTGGGGCCAGGTGTGTGTGTGTGTGTGGAGCCAGGGTGCCCTGGAGGCGCCTGAGTCACCGCGGAGGGGCTGGGAAGCGGCGATGGGGCCCGGGGGCTCGGTTAGCAACAAGTACCAAAGAGAAGTCAGCGCGGGCCGGGCGTCGACGGCACCGAAGCGAGGGCCCTCCGGCCCGCGCGGAGATCGACGGCTGGGCGGTGCGCCGCCCAGTCGCCGCTGCCGGCGCGCCCCGGGCCCCGATCCAGCCGCTGCCTCTGCGTGGCGTGGCGCAGGCGGGATGCGATGACAAACATTTACTCCTTCCGCTGGATGGGGCCGCCGAGCCGCCCACCTCTCGCCCCAACCTCCTCCAGGGGGGCCAGGTCGTTGTTCGCCGCTGTGTCCACGTCCCTAGCGTCCGGGCGGGTGGTAGCCTCCCTGGCCGCTCGAGCGTCGCCGCCGTTGCCCTGGGAGTCCCTGGCAGCCATACCGCGGCTGGGGTCGCCGGCGGGCTCGCCGCGCCTGAACGGCTCCAGTGAGTCTTTCCCGAGGCCCGCGGGCGGTAGCGTGGGTCGGTAGCGCGGCTGCGGGGGCGCGTTGGCGCCGGGAGAGGCTGGCCGGCTCGGGGGCGTTGTGCGGCGCCGTGTGGCTGCCGAGCGCACCTTAACACGCCTTCCAGCGCAGAAGTCAAATGTGGTCCCCGATGTGCCGCGGCCCGCGGGCCTGGGTTCCCCGGCAAGACACCGACCGTCACACTTCCGGGACCGGCGCGACGCGTGGCTGCGGGGCTGGCCACGAACCGGCCGTGCCGGCGCCGGCTTCACGTGACGTTCACGTGGGGCGTCACCGACGTCGTCACACATCGTTGGCGTCGCGCCAGCGTCTGGCACCGACTGCGGCACGTCTGGCGGTGTGGGTGTGTTGCCCGACTGCTGGGCTGATGGATAGCTTGGTGCCTGCGGGGAAGTCGTTGGCGCACCCCTGTCTGACGTGTCCATTGCCGGACTTGCCCTTCGCTGTGGGCATACAATTACTGGTTGCACTAAATCGGTGACTGTTTGCATCAAATCCCTTCAAAATTAACCTAAATTAGGCCCTAAACCCTGGCCCCAAACCTAAACTTACCTTATTTTTAGGGTTAAGTTTAGGTTGGGGACGAGTTTGAGGGTTAGGGTTAGTGTACGAATGTGAGGACCTAGTGTGCATGTGACTTGGTGCAAGCAGTCACCGATTTGGTTCAAGCAGTAATATTATATTGTTGTTTGGGGTTTGCGCAAGTCAGCATAGCACAAGCAATACCCATTGTTAAAACAACCTCCATATGCAGCTGCCCATTAGGGCTGGTGAGCTGTTGCTACTGCTTCTCTAATGTGAGGATCCAAGCCTTCCCCTTATTCGAACAGGTGCTGCTGAAGCTAGGCACCTCAATTCAGTGCTTGTTAGCAAAAAAGGTTGAGCATTGGAGCCGAAGTGTCTCCGCCAAGCAGCTTAGCCTTTGTCAACCTAGATTTGATGTCAATCATAGTTGATCACAAAGCCAACTAACAGGCAATCAGGCAACGGCTCATTTCACCAACAGCACAGGTCACAGATTCACGTCGATCGTCACTCACCACCTCGATTGAGGAATAACTACACTGTTCCATAGAGGATACAAGTTTTGAGGTAGCTCGGATGATAGCGCTACTTTCCAGCCTGGCGCATGCCACAATAAGTGATACGCATCTGAATTTAGGGAGCTTTAGCAAGAGCGCTATATGTGCTTATGAAGGAACTATGTAGTGCGAATTTCCAAGTTGTTCGACCTTGCAGAAATATGATTGTCATAGGGCTTCATATTTGAATGAGTGCGGCAGTGTTGTTGCGCCATTTTAACACCATGCCTATATGATTTTTAAGCATCCGATGTTCCTTTTCTCACAACTGCTGTTCACCAACCCCTCATGCAGCTCACTGAATCACCATGCAAACACAATGCAACGTCACGATTGTTGCGCATGTCGCAAATCGATGCATCATATATTGTGCGATAATGGGGCAGTGCCCACACTCTCGGACTCGCTCCCTGCCAAGTTTCAAAATCGATCATTTGCAACGATTGTACTTGGACGGCACTTATACATTCGCACACAAGACGGTGCTCCAAGGTTTCCACGGGCAAACAGGTATATGTTACATTTTTGTCCAAAACAACGGCTCGGAGATCAGCTCCCATGCTGGGTGGTTCTTCCAAACCCCCTGCATGCCCCCTATTTGTAGCCCTGGCTGGCTGCTCCACTTATCTGAGGATCTTTGGAATATTCTCCAAGGATTCGGATCACTATTGGCCAACTTTCTAGATCATCCTCTGCTTGTCCAATTAGCTTCCCTGATCACTTTTGTGATCCACTACCTGTCTCCATCCCCCTACGTCTAATGATTCCCATTAATACTAAGGTCAGTGCTATTCACTCATAAGTCACTATCAAGTGCTGGCCCCACGGCTTCCCCATCAAATAGACTATCCTTTTGCAACCACTAAATCACAACTAGCTCAATGGATTCACAGAATGTTGTCTCATCAAACAATCACTATCGCTCAGTATCAATTTCATCATGATTGAGAGGATGTGTCCTCACCTGCTCCTCCATGCCTCCACAATAGGCTCCAGTGCCTTGATCGCGCCCCCCATCGTTGGGCAGATCTTCATATGTAGGCCACGCCCAGCAGTCCCACACGTTGTGGATTTTAGCGTCCCTCATCGCACCTCTCGTGGGCATGCAAATTCCATGCATGGCAAGGCAGACCTCTACTATGCAAGCAATGCAATGTAGCCCATAAGATTTTGCCATCGTCATCGTTGTCATCGAGACTTGGTAGCCACGCCCTCGCACCCATGTTCGAGCGCATCGCCACAAGTTGCCTCCACCATGCGTGCACCTCTGAGGCAACCTGCGACTCTGTGTCCAAGGTTGCCGTACGACATCGTACGCCATAACACACAACACATGATGGCAACCGCAGACGCATGCCCCCAGGTACAGGACAACTTTCGTACATTGGCAAACTCACTCAATCATCATTATTGGTTGAGCATTGCTGCCTAACTGCACCCCACCATTGTGGCGCCCTTGAAACTGTATGTTTCGCCCATAAGTTGCCATAAATGAGAGCAATTTCAAAAGCGCAATGGGTGCCCCTTTTGGCCTATTGTGTAGCTATTCAGCAGTTGCAACATGGCTTGCATTTTAGTAATCTATCCAACATTGTTCCCATTAGTTTGTAATGAACAAGCCAATGCTTCCCCACGAATTTTGCCTTTTCAAAAATACCTTTTGCCGCGAGCCATCCTTGTGCTGATGTGGCACAATGACTAACAACGAGTTTAACACCATCAATTTTCCAATTGCGGTGGCTAGCAGGGCGGTTGCCAGATGTTTTTGGCAAGTGCCCAAAATATTCAGCAATTGCCCAAAATATTCAGCAATTGGCAAAACTCTACAGTATAAAATGCATCTGCGTCACCTTCTTGGGCGGTGGCAGGCATTTAGCAATGTTGACGGCCCATTCACTGAGAGGAACTAGACAACCACATAATCAAGCCGCTCCATCAATACGAATCGACCAAACATTTCACAAAGAAACGAGTGTTCATACTCTGCCATCGCAAATAAAATGAATCAGCTTGGGCGCCCATTCCCAAATTGCCCATAAGGCTGCAAACAATATAAGGCAAGTCCTTTGCAGTGAGCTGCTTGTGCTATGGGGGTGGAACATGGGCGACGAGTGAAGGGCGAAGCAGCAGTAATGATTGGGAAGGGTTGGGCATAATTACAACGCGCGATCAATTTTGCATGAACTGCATAGGTTTGAGCATCGTCAAACAATGCGCGAGCAAAATGGCTAAGAAAGACCTAGCAAGAATGTCTGTGGCCAGAGGCAGTTCGCTCAGACATGAGTGGTTACATGGAAACTGGTCGGCATCATCGTGAAAGCCATCTACATGTCCGGTGGCTGATACATGACTAATGTTATGGTGGGCGCCTTCCCGCTAAGGCCATTGACCCACCTCGCCATGGCACATGAGTCACCATGACTCACGCCAGACCACCTGTTACAAGATGGTATACTATTTATATGTTCTAGTATTTTACGTAGCTTGAGACTACATACATAGTCTAGGGAAGCCAGTCACTCTAGACCAGTGACAAGGGGATGGTTCCTAGTAAATTAGAGTTCCAATAATGGAACTCAATATAATCTATAATGCCTTAATGGGTTTTAATACCCATACAGCATATCAACTCGTCGCTCCCCCGGGACCGACGTCCTTGGAGGCATACAATGTGTCACGTAAATACGCAGCGAGAACCTACCAGAGAGTTGTCCAGCAGGGCTCCCGGTTGAGACAAATACTTTACTTGTTTTGTTGTTGGCAGAACACATTAACAAGAGGAGCCATACATACCAAGCAATGTCAAGTCAAATCTTTCCTCTGTTTATGTGTCTACGTGTCACCCTGGGATTACCCCAAGGGGATGCCTGTTGCTCCCTACTGGAGGTAAGTCAACTACCCGAAGGTGAGCCGCGTCCGCGACCACCACAAGCATCCCGGCCTCCTCTACTATGGCCACTAGATACGCAGCGACCTAAGGGTCCACTGCCCCTCCCAGGTGTGGGTGCTCGCACTGGTCGAATGCCTTTCTCGACATTCTGAATCCAGCAATACATCACAAGAAGAACAGGTACAAGAACTAATTCTTAGCGTCTTTGCTTGTGACGCTTGCTATGTCTAGCACCTGATGGGTGATTATGTTTTGAATATTGATTTTCAAATGTTTGCAGTATTTTTGCACAGTTGGTCATATTTCTTTCAGGTTCCCAACTGTTATGTTCATGACCATACCCGGTCCACTTTACTAAATATTCTGTACGTGGATTATTTCATACTTGTCAAACACGTTTGTCAAGAATATTCTTGACAGTGCATTCGAGGTCACCCTCCAACTCAATTGGAGGGGGTGCAGGTTGTACACGACCTCCATATTTATATAATACCAATTTTGAAATATGAAATACGGGGTGAACCCATTTCATTCTCGGTGGCAGCGCGAGTCGGTAGGCGACCTCACCAATTCTTGCCTCCACTCGGAATGGGCCAAGCCATCTCGGCAAGAACTTTTTCGTCCTTGGATGTTTCAGGGAGATGTTCTTTGATTGTAGGAGTACTCGATCTCCTACTTGATAGACAACGTCTCGTCTATGCAGATCCACTACATGTCTTTGGCGGACTCGGGCTTGTTGTAGGTGCTCTTTTGCCAACTTTAGGGCAGAAGCGACCTTAGCCGTCATTTGAGTTACAACCGGGATCTAGTCTGGGACCTCGTATCCGTCGCACTCCTCACGGGTGGTGTCAGACTGTTCAAGACGTGTTGGGATTTCATATGCTAGTGGGCTGACTACATGTCGCCCATAATTTAGGAAGAACGGAGTCTCTTTAGTGGACTC